TTTATTCATTCACTCACTCATTCATTTATTCACTCCCTCACTCATTCATTCACTCACTCACTCATTCATTCACTCACTCACTCACTCATTCATTCTCTCACTCATTCATTCACTCCCTCCCTCCATTCATTCATTCATTCATCCACTCATTCATTCATTCATTCATTCAATCATCTAGTCACTGATCCTGGGCCAGGCATTGTTCTAAGCTTGGAGACTAGAAGTAAACAGCAGTGATGTATCATGGTGGCATCGCTCCACTGTCCCTTAGGTTCTGGAGTCAGAGTTCGGTGATGCCTCCCTGGCTGGTGGGTCTCCCTGTGCCTGCCAGGAGATCGGGGTATGCTCCAGCCCTGGCATCTCACTGACTCCTTGCCATGAGGCTCCTCAGCAGCTACTCTCTGGGGCCTACCTGTGTGGGTGCTGTGGCTTGGCTGCTGTCTGGGAGTTGTAGCACGCTGGCCAGCCATACTGACTCTGGGACTCTCTCTGACTGAGCAAAGGGGGCACAGATGGGGTGGGGAGGGTGTGGGTCAGCCTGAGGGGACCACAGCTCTCCCCTTGGGCACTTTGTGGGGAGGCATGGCTCCTGGATCCTCCTCAACCCTAAGCTTGGGTTGGCGCTTGCCCTTGAGGGCCTGGACAGGTGCAGGGTGGGCTGGGCAGCGTGGGCAGGCTTTCACGGCCTTCCTGTCCCCACAGTGCGCCTCCATGACAGCATCTCCGAGGAGGGGTTCCACTACCTGGTCTTCGATCTGTAAGTGCCTGAACTGTGGCCATCTCCCTGTCTGCTCCTGTGTTGGGCCTGGGTGGGATTCGAGGCCTCTCTGGCCCCTGGTGGACAGCCCTCCATCGCCTAGGGTCACCACACTTCCAGGATGTGCTGGAGGCCAGCTGGGCAGAGAGGCAGGAGGAAGGGAACTTCCCAGGGGAAGCGGTCAGCGGCCTCCTTCGCCTCCCCTCCTTGGTGTCGTTGTAACGGCTGAACGGGGGCGCCGCTGGCTGGCTGGTGTGTGTGGATGTGCATGTGTGTTTCTGCGTGGACATGTCAGTGTTGTCATGTGGGAACGGGCATGACTGTGTGTGTCTGCGTGTGGTTAGTGCGGGTGTGTGTATTTAAATCATGCACATGTATGTGTTGTGTGCACGTGTGATATGGGAGCGTGGATACTCTCTATTGTGGACATCTAGTGCGTACATGCATGCGATCCGTATGTGTGTGTGTGCGTGTGCGGATGTGTGCGAGGCAGCTGAGTAAGAAAAGGCATCTGGGGCCTCTGCCGCCTCTCACTTCCTGCTGGATTTAGAAGTGGTGATCTCACCACCCCCCTCCCTGACAGCTCCCTCTAAGCAGTGCTATATTTAGCTACCCATGAGTCAGTGCTGCTCAGGACCCTGGGGTGGGTAGGGGCTGTGGGCTCTGGGCAGCCCTGTGTCTCAGGGTAGCCACATGGCCAGGCCAGCCCAGCTGGAGTGCTGTTGCCATGGTGACAGGATGTGCCTGTGTGGGGGCGCTCTTCCTCTCTCAAATAACAGCTGCCTTGTGCCATGGGGCACAGAGGTCTGAGCAGGGGGCCTCAGCCCGTTTGGGTCCTGCGGTCAAGAAAGGTTGGGACTGTCCTGTGGAAAGTTGGCCATCTCTGAGTACACCTTGTCCCACAAGTCACCCCTTCAAGCGACCAGCCAGGTGGTCAGGGCTGACCTGGGACACACTGCTGCTGGGCAGATGCTGGGCTTGAAACATCTGTCCAAGTGCCCTTGAAGAGGTGGCAGGCTCACCTCCTTACCCCCCCAGCTCCACCAGTCTGGAGGGTGGCCACGCCTGGGCCCCTGGTGGCCGACAGAAAGAGCACATGTGTTTCAGGAGCACGCAAGGGCTAGGAAACAGGGCTTGTGTGCATGTAAGTGTGTGATGTGAGGAGAGTGAAGAGAGATGCCATGTGCAAGAATCTATGGACACCCTCACGGCACACTTCTCCAGTGGCCCTGCATAGGTGGGGTGGCTGTCTCCACCTGCCTGGGCCCTATCTGCAGCTCCCTGACCCCAGAGGCACCCTCCCTATCATGTGAACTCCTTCCTGCAGGCGGTCACCTACTCTGAGCCTTAGCCACCTGGCAAAGTGGCTTTTGCTCTGACAGTGGCTAAGGTCCAGCAGGATCACAGGGTGATGCTAGCCTAGAATGAGGACATGCTCACACCTCACACATTCATGTGTTGTCTTTTCTCCAACACTGTCAGGCTCACATTCAGCAGTGTCCACTCCTGTGGCTCTGCTGTGGGCCAGCCAGGCTCTGAGTGCTGGAAGTCCCAGAGCTAATGGGGCTGGAAATGCCAAGGAAGGACCTCCATGTGAGGCCAGGGCAGCTGCAGGTGGGGTGCTGGAAGAAGGCACGCTGCAGAGAGAGGAACCCCTTGGCACATCTGGGGGTAGAGCTCTAGATGAAGTCTTTCAGACTCAGAGCTTACTGATTTGGGTGAGGCGTTGGGTAGATCTGGGGTAGATCTCCCTGCTCCCCTCTGTGTCTGCCCCTCCACCATAGACTCTTCTCTACCTTCTGTTCCATGCCCATGTTTCCCAGCACACAATGGGGATGAGCCTCTTTCTGGGTTCCCAGAGACCCTGCCCTGGGTATCTATCCTCACTTGGGCCTAAAAGCCACTCCCTGGCCACATGGCAAGAAAGTGAGTAGACAGGCCACCCTGCTCTCCTCCTGGAGATGGGACCTCAGGCACCTGTGATTCCAGACCAGGCACCAGCTCTTTTGGACCCTCTGCTCTTGTTACATATCTCGTTCTGGAGGGTTTGAGAGGGAAATAGGCTCTTTCTGGGCCTGGAGTTAGAGTCTCGAGGCCTGGATCCAATGTCCCTGTTGCCATGTTGGACAAAGCGCTTAGATCTTGGAAACTCCATGTTCTGAGCATAAGTGCCAATGTCATGGAGGAGATGTGAAGACAAATATGTTAAATGTCACCATATGAGAGTAAGCACCTGATAAACTGTTAGACCTAGGAGAGAGTGGTGTTAGGGTGGAGGGAGTGGCGGTGGACATGATGGTGATGGTGATGACATACAAGAGGTGGTGGTGATGCAGATAGTGGAGGTGGTGGAGGTGGAGATGGTGGAGGGGGTGGTAATGGAGATGGTGGATGTGGTGAAAGTGGTGGTGGAGGAGGCAGAGGTGGTGGAGGTTGAGATGGTGGAGGTGGAGGTGGTGGTGGTGGAGGTAGAGATGGTGGAGGGGGTGGTAATGGAGATGGTGGATGTGGTGGAGGTGGTGGAGGTGATGGAGGTGGTGGTGGTGGTGGAGAGGCCATAGAGGTGGTGGTGATGATGATGACATGCAGGGCATGGTGATAGTGGTGATGATGGTAAAGACATTCAACAGGTGGAGGAGATGGGACGGAGATTATGGAGGTAAAAGCGGCCTCTAGAATCCATGACCTCTGTGTGCTTTTCCCACAGGGTCACTGGTGGGGAACTCTTTGAGGACATTGTGGCGAGAGAGTACTACAGTGAGGCCGATGCCAGGTGGGTATGGAACCCTGATATTTACTGTCCCTGTCCTTCTCTTACTCAGCCCACTACTGCCCCTCTGGCCTCGGCTCTTATATTTATTGTGCTTCCTTAATTGGCAGACAGTCAGCTGGAGAGGAGGTGATGGTCTTTTCTTTGGCAATAGCCTCCCCACCCGCTGGCAGGTCTGACCAGGATGGAGGTGTGGGAGCTGGGCAGTGGTCAGGCCTGCTCACTTTCCCCTGGGAAGGAGCTGGCTCAGAGAGGAGTGACTCTCCTTGGGGTGACTGTGAGAGGAGAGAAAACAATGTGGTGTCTTCCTGCTCTTCCATCTCACATCTTTCCATGGCTGCAGAGGACACTCTTGGCAAGGCAGTTTGGCCCTGTGCTGTGGGAAAGGCTCCCTGAGCGTAATGAGCAGGAAACAGGGACCCTTGGCATGGGGCCCAGGAAGTGGAGAAAGCGCTGTCCGGGGTGGGTGGGGGGCAGGTAGCAGGGATGGCGGGGAGGAGAGGCTGGGCCACAGCAGGGCCCCTGTCTCTGGAAGAGTGGCTTGCTGTGACCTGACATTACAAGCTAGATACTACCCTGACCCATGACAGGCATGTCCATCCCAGTGGTGCCTCTGACCCAGGGCAGCTGGGTGGTCAGGAGACTTGTTTAATAAAGAGAAAAGGCTGACAGTGGTCCTTTCTAGATGATGGGGTTAAGGATGGTTTTGTTTTTTGTTTTTTTTTAAAGATTTATTTATTCATGCATACAGAACTGGGGTACAGGCCATAGGTGCAGGGGTGGTGCAAGGATTCACCAGAGACAGAGTGGGGAGCAGAACAGGCAGATCGATGAAGTACACTGCTGAGGGAAGCAGCGGGCGGGTCAGGAGAGGTCTGCCGCGCCATGTGGGTCACCTCTGGGGCAGGCGGGGATCGAACTTGCACTGAAGTGGCTGCGGCCAGCTTGCAGTGCTGCGTCCTAACCCGCTGCATCACCAGGGAGGGCCTGTGGATGCTTTTTAATGCTTTTCTCTTTTTTGTCTATTTTATAAATAGTCTTCAATGAATATGTATTACACTTCTAATCAAGAAAAATGAATATTATTTTAAAAAGTAGGTTTTTGTGACTGGTGTCTGCGCCCACAGGCGACTTCTCCCCTCATTGTGGCCTCACTGAAGGTGTGAGTGGGGCCTGATACAGAACAGGGCAGCTGGGGGCCTCTGGAGAGCGCTACCCTGACTCTTGCCAGGACTGGGTGGTTGCGCCTCCTATTTCAGGCCAGGCCACCCTGGCTGACCACTCTCCTGAGGATACTTAAGAAAGGACTTTCATTATGCAAAACAGCCCAGAGTGCCCTGTCCCCTCGAGGAGATGCCATTTTTATATCCTACTTAAAAGAATAATAGAAAATAACACAGGGCCACCCCTGACGGCTTTGAAATGCTCATGGCTGCTGGGCAGACAGGTGAGACCCCCATCCAGGCCTCTGATGTCTACTGGGGCTTGTGGAGTTTATGAGGCTGTTGGTCGGGCCAACATTCCGGGTCAGTCCCTAGCTGGCTCTCCATCTAGGGCCTTATGGCCTGCAGGCTGGGCAGTGAGTGACAAAAGTCTCATCAGAGACTAGAACTGGTTTTGAATTCTGCCTCCAGCATCACCTGGTGACTCATGGAGTTGCTTGCCTTTACAGTCTTGTTTCCTAGTCTGGAACATTCTTGCGAGGCCCTTTGGTCCTCAGTGCTCACTGCTGGGCAAAGTCTGGGGCTTGGCACTCCCTACCCCCAGCACTCCATGGCAGATGACCCAGATGAGGGGAGGCATAATCCACACTGTAACCCCCCACCCTCACCTTGGCCAGAGCCTGGGTCCCTCTGGCCTGCCCATAGTACCTTCCTTCCAAGCCTGCCCCAGCCTGCCATAGGGGGACCTGTGCTACCTCAGGCTCATGGCCTAGACTCCACTCCCAGTCCCCCAACCCTCGCCCTGAGCCCACATTCCATACCCACTCCCACCCAGGCATCTCCTACCTCATCCTATGCCCTCCCACGCCTGTGGCCCGTACCACCCGCAACACCGGTCACCTCTGAGCTCCCGCTTGCCTTCCCACCCTGCCTCCACTTGTTTCTTGACCTTATTTTCTCCAGCCTTTTCTCCCTCACTCCTGTGGCTCCCTTCTGCTGCCTGCACCCTCCTTTGCTGTTTTTGTGGTCCTTGTGTGTCCACCAGGTAATGGGAGCATGAACCACGAGGCAGCAAGGGGCTCCTCCTCTCTGCTGGACTTGTCACCTGCCTAGCCCCACCTGGAGAGGGCTCTCCTTGATGAGAGGCCCTGAGGCCTAGGGGGCTCCCCAGTGGTGGTCGTGGTGGGGAAGGCAGAAGGAGTCACTGGGCCTTTGTCCAGACTGCTGGGCCAGTTTCTCTCCCTCCGGCTTTCTGCCCAGCCTGCTTCACTGCCACTCTTGGAGTAGATGGTCTATGATGGAGGGCCCCCTTGGTGTTTGGGGCCCCTTGGAACTGGCCCAGGAGAGACAGGGACTCAGGTACGGCCCCCTCGAATTCCTAGTTTTGTCTGACAAACACTGCTTCGCCCAGTAGCCAGGCTGCGAGGAGTGCAGCAGAGGAGATCAGAGGCCTTCAGAGGCCTTCAGAGGCCTTCCAGCCGGCCCACTAGTAGAACCTGAGCACTTTGGGAGCTCTGTGCAAGTGGGCTGAACCCCTTCACAAGCCTGAGGCCCGCAGGCTGCCTCTTCCTGGGTGCCTTGTGCCTGGGGTCTGGACCGAGAGGGAGATGACCTCGTGCTTGCATTTGTGTGGGAGTTTCACCTTTGGGCAGGGAGCCAGACAGTCTGACACGGAGGCACGCATAGCCAGCCACCCTGGCATCACCAGGGGTCCTGGCATACTCAGGAAAGCCATGCTGGGAGGGGAAGCACCATCTCCTCTTTTTAGGGACTCGGGGTGACATCAAGGGTAGGGGCACGCCCGGCCCTTGCTTAGGGCTGGCACCCCTGAGTGGATTCGTGCAAGGCCCCTCCTTAGTCTCCTGAGCTCCTGCTCCGAGACCTGAGCATCTGATGAGTCTCCCACCTCTGGCATCTTGGAGAAGAAGAAGCCAGGTGGGAATTGCTCTTCTGAGGAGACTAGACAGTCCCCTTCGGACGGAGACCTTTGTTTTGAAAGCTGCGGGGAATGTCGCAACCCTTTTCAAGCCAGAGTAAACATTCAAAATTTTATAAGCCATTTACAAATACCCCAAGAAGCAATATGGTTCATGAGATATGGTTCTAGGGGCCCCATGAAGGGGACGCCCCAGGGTGGGAGGAGGAGCAGGAACAACGCACCTGAAGCTAGAATTGGGAAGAATGTCCAGGTCAACTGGACAGGCCAACTGGTGTCCAGAGCATGAGAACAGCTCTGACCACAGAAGTGACTTTCTCAGCCGTTCAGAATATGCAACAGAAAAAATGTCCCAGAGGAAGATAACACAATGTGGCTAGGGAAGGCGGAGGCAGCGGGGCTCGAGACTGGCCCTGGGTCTTGTGTCCTCCAGACTGAGTTTCCTGGCTGTCGTGGTGGGTGAGGTGGGTGGCCTGAGCCCTGGGAACCTGCCCAGAGGTCCCCGGCAGGCGGGCATCCTGAGGTCCCGCCAGCTGCTGCTGTGACTCTACGTGGTTCCTTCAGATGCTGTCATGAGTGAGGCTGGGGGACAGGCCGGCGTGACCAGGTGGAAGGGTCGGGCAGACACATTCTTCCTCTGGACAAACCTCGGGTTTGTAGAGGTTGAAGCCAGCGAATGTGCCCTGCAGCCTCTTTGGTCAGTCAGGGTGTCCACAGTGCCCGAGCAGGTGTGCTGGATGGAACAGCAGGCTGGATCCCAGGGACCGGGGTAGCGCCAGTGCTCCTCGAAAGAGCCGGGCGGCTCAGCGCAGCCACCCCCGCGTGCCTGCCCTGGCTTGGGGCCAGTGAGTGGGGAGCAGCCGCCTCATGAGTTGACGTGCAGAGCCTACTGTCTGGCAGGCGGACGGATGTGAGTCCAACACACATTAGTGGACATGATCTGAAAGGAAGGAAGCACACGTCGCTCCAGTCACAGAGGCCACAGTCCATGCAGAGACAGGTGCTGTCTGAACGCCCACACAAAGCAACACGGGCTCCCAAACACGCCCGACACGGAGAGGCGGAGGGGATCCTTCAGGCAAGCGCCAGGGTGAAGACTGAACATGGGGACCTGACCCAAAAGCAAGCTGGCAGGGGCCTCAGCAGACCTGGAAACACATTCACCAGGGTGGCAGAGGCCAGCCGAGCCCCGCAACACCAGCCGTAGGCTCTGAAGGCCACGGGGTGCTTCAGGAAGGTGCCTCAAAGGGTCACTGCTCCGCGTGTGGCAGACATGCCAATGGGGTTCTAGGCCCCAGGGCCCTTCCTGAGGGCGTCGTGATGACTAGGAGGAGAGACTCTGGTTTTCAGGGCTCAGGAGTGGGGAATCGGGGGTTCATAGTCACCACTCCTCCCCAGGGCTCTGGGCTTGTGTGTGAGCTGAGGTCCATTGATTGGGGGCTGGGAAGGTGAAGCCCCCTGTCTGGGGCCCAGGCTCAGCAGCCTTAAGGTAAGTGCTGGGACTTCACCTCACCTCCACTGCTGCCTTCAGAACTTCTGAGACCCCAGGACATGGGGAAAGGGCACCCCAGGGCAGGGGGCAGAGACTCCAGATGTTGGAGCGGTCTGTGATGTTGATGCGAGGGCCTTTTGCCTTCCACGCTCACAATTCTCAGGAATCCATTGTCCCTTTAGAGTTCTGAAGTCTAAGTTTCTTTCTTTTTTTTTTTTTAAATAGATTTATTTATTTATGCATACAGAGCTGGGATACAGGCCAGAGGTGTAGGGGCAGTGAGAGGTTCACCAGAGACAGAGTGGGGAGCAGAACAGGCAGATTGAGGAAGTACACTGCTGAGGGGAACAGCGGGCAGGTCAGGAGAGATCTGCTGGGCCATGTAGGTCAGCTCTGGGGCGGGGATCGGACTCACATTGATGTGGCTGCAGTCAGCTTGCAGTGCTGCACTTTAACCCGCTGCGCCACCAGGGAGGGCCAGAAGTCTATGTTTCTGCAGGGAGGCAATGCAGGTTTGTTTTTTAATGCAGTGGCTACTCTCTCCAGATGTGGCCAGAGCTATTGAGGAAGAAGACAAGACCCCATCTCCTCTCTGAGCTTGCCATTTGGGAGACTCCTCACTCCTCCCCCTGCCACCCTCTGTCACTCCACAGGGTCCAGCATTGCTCAAGATGCCCTAGAAAATGTACTAATTCTCTTCCTCATCCAACACAGGGAGGCTGTGACCAAGGCCCCAGGGCGTGGGTCCTGGCAGCTTATGGCCCTCCACTCCCCTGGGAAAAGTTATATCCCAGGCCCAATGTGGGACCCTAAGTGCCTGTGTCTGCCTCTGGGGGCAGCTGAAAACTGTTGGGGAACTCTGGTGCCATGGGGTAACAAGCTCAGGCCATAGGGTTTTTGGTGGAGGGGTGGGGGGTGGGTTAACTGACACAGGTGCAGAGGTGCCTGAGGGCAGAGGGACCTCTCCCTCCTGCTGTCCTTCCCTGGAAGGCCTGGAACTTCTCCTGACCTGGAAGGACGCCCCTGGCTTGGGGCCCTCACCAGGAGAGCTTCCCAGACCCCAAGGCTGCTGTCGAGCCGAGCTGTCCAGGGTAGCAGCCAGCAATCGGCGTGATGTTCATGCCTGTTAAAATGGGATAGCAGGTGCTCTGGTATCTGCACAACCAGGCCCTGTGGAGTGAACACTGCCCCAGAATGGAGGGACCCCGCCGCCAGCCAGGTTCCTCACTTCGAGATGCTGGCCAGTCAGCCTTCTTCCTCTGCCCTTTCTCTGCTTAGGTTTCTCCGCGCCTGTCCTGCCTTGCAGGGTGGCCCTTAGCCCTGGCCTCCTCCCCGAGGGTGCCACAACTCAAGTCAGGCTTGGCTAGTATGCTCCCGGGAAGGGGCACCCAGGAACAGGGACGCTGCCTCTCAGTGTCCCTTGCGTGGGCCTGCCCCAGCTCAGCGTGGGTGTGGGCTCAGTGGGGCTGGCCACGGAGACCACCAGAAGCCCCCTGCTGGCCAGTGTAGCAGTGCCTTCATTCCCTGCTTTCCCTTGGCTCCCCGCCAAGCTGGGGACCCCAGGCCCCAATGCCGCTCCTGTACCCTGCCGGCCCCTGGGGGTGAGGGTCACCGCACTAATCCCTCTGTTTGCTGCAGCCACTGCATCCAGCAGATCCTGGAGGCCGTTCTCCATTGTCACCAAATGGGGGTTGTCCACAGGGACCTCAAGGTGAGTCTCCCACCTGTATCTGCATGTCATGTAAAAGGGTTCCGGGTGAGGCAGTGTGACCCAGGAGATGCTGCATGTGGGGGTACACTGTGGGTGCATACGTGTGTGCGTGTACACGAGCAGGAGCGCCTTCCATGGGCGTCGTGTGAGAGAGCACGTGCTTGTGTGGCTCACGCACGTGCATTGCACACGTCCCTCCCGGGCCTGTGGAGCCGAGAAGGGGCAGCTGCCCGAAGTCAGATTAGCACGTGTCCACCTGGGATCTCACTTTAGTTGTGACGGGACCTGGTGGGTGGGCCCAGCAACAGCACACAGATGGGCATCGGCGGAAGGGCAGGGGTAAGAGGCCCCGGTTTGAGGGTCTGCACACTTCCAGTCCTTTCTCCAAGTCTTTGCTGCCCTTGTTTCAGCATTGGTCCAAGTGGTTTCAGACTGTCCCATAGGTCTGCCACCCCCAGAGTGCAGCAGAGATGGGAAGGCCCTCAGCAGTCATCCTCTTTCTCTGCCTCCACACCCTCAGTGCAGCAGAGATGGGAAGGCCCTCAGCAGTCATCCTCTTTCTCTGCCTCCACACCCTCCCCTTCC